AAAAAAGACCTCTGGAAACGCACTGTGGATGACCGCAGTGGCTCCAGGTAGTATGGATGAACTCTACTCCGGTGGCGGGCGGTGCGATGGTAAAAACGAGATGCCGGTATCATCTCGAACAATTCCTCAGAGTAGGCATTAAAAAAAAAAAAGGACCTTCGTCAATCAGCTACGTCGTGATTATTAGCGTTCGTCACTTTTGTGTTTCATCAACTATTACAATAATGAATGCAAACTGCCACTTTATAATTAATTAATATATTGAAGATGAAGTTTTATTAAATTGTATGGATACATAGTATGCCTTATAGCTCGCTATCCCATTTTATATATTCGAATATATTTACTGGAATTTGCTGCAAAATGTATTAAGAACTGATAGTAGTTGCTGTGAATGGGTACACGAGCTTAAAATTCACTTGTCACTATCACTTATAACACGATCATCTATATAACATAATTTAAAAAAAAAACGTATATAATGTGTAAATGAGTCGACTATTATCAAAGCCGGCAATCTGACTTTTGGACAATGATTGTTAAATCAGAAAAACGAATTATTGACTTTGTATTCCATTGGCAGTCACAAAACTCTTCGGAACGACATCTTAGATAAATAACAGGTTAACTATTAACCTTTATTTAATCCAGTTTTTGAACCGTATTCTTTGAAGGAGACGATTATATTCAAATCAATCTGTACAACATATCAATAATTTTTTTTTGTCCAAATGCACAGATTGCCACCTTTGATAATAGACGACTCAAATGAACTACTCAATTGGTGGATTCCAAATAAACTAAGAAATGAATAGAGTTTTTATCAAATGTAACTAATAATCAAGTCAAACAAAAATAGGTTTCAGCTAATATCCGTACTAAAATCGGTCTTGCCGCTTGTGACCTATTTCATGACACAGTCACAATTAATTTGCTTATTAGCGTCGGCAAAAAGACCGGGTGCTATAACCAAATATATATTTTAAAATATGCTGATAAATTAATCATATACTAACAAGTACTCGCTATATAATGTTAATAGTTTTTATTTAATTTATTAAAACAATCATTTTCATCTATATACATTTTGTAACGTCCTTAGAACGAAAACTGGAATGCTAAAGAATGTCCGAACAGTCATTTGATGACACGATAAACCATTGGATAAACCCGACAATTCTTCGACCAAATCCAGTAACAAACAAATCTATGTGGGTAGTAGGAAAACAAGAAAACTGTTCCGAAACGCACGACCTTCCTCTGATAACAACATTTTCATTTTGTTTTTATTACACAACATAAAGGCAACGGCCGACAAACCCGACTGATGCTCGTGAGATTACAGATCACCTCGGCACAGCCAACGGTCTACGTGCGACAAGAACGACTTGTGAAATAAGTTCATTTCATTATGGGGGATATGCCACCCGTCAATATAACTATCCAATACCGTCAATCACGATTTGATCAGATTTATTCGACGGTCGCCGCGTGATTCGCGTTCAATACCTTCGTCAAAGTTATTTGTCACTTTGCGGTCGTGTATTCGTTTCGTGGAAAATCGTAAATTGTATTATTTTACTTCTTCAAATCCGTAATATTTACGAAACAACTTCAAACCGAAACGCATTACTGCTTCACGGCAGAAATAGGCAGGGCGGTGGTACCTACCCGTGCGAACTCACAAGAGGTCCTACACATTCGAACACCGGTGCATCGCTAGACACAAATGCACCGGACGTCTTATCCTTTGGGCCACGACGACTTCAAAGCTTTACCAAACGTGGGCATCAACCTTTTCCGTACTGCCACATAATATAGGTAGCGGCAATCTACCTCCCATAAAAATATCAAAAAAATGTAAACAGTATTACTATTATTATATTTTTAATCATACAATAACTCCAAATACGATACATGCATCAACATAAACAAAAGTTTCACGGTCATTCTCGAAATGCATTTCGTCCGTGACGCGGCCTTTACATAAACCTAATTACAAAGTGCTCAAAGTACTTTTAGAAATTAAACCAAACGAACGGAGCGAAACGGAAATTCTCGTTACGTTGGCTCCGATTTCGTTTTAGTAAACATTACGACTAAATTTCCAGGAATGTCTAAAAACGAAGCGATATTCGGAAAATGATTTGTGCTGTTGTTATTCGCTTTTACTTTGTTACACTAAATGTTTGAAAGTAACTCCTTTTCGGTAACAACAAAATCATAAAGCGTCTCCGGATAAGGCGACGTCGTGGAGCCATCGTGTGTCTCAGCTTGGCCGTATCTAACAAAACTTATTACCATAACCTATTAGCGAATGAGAGATATAAAGAAAAACGTTTGGTTATGATGTAATTGTGTGCGCGACATCGGCTGCGGATACCTCGCGTCTACGCCAAACATCTTGAAAGTATTTAGAGGCTGACTAGCTCGAAACACTTACGTGATTTCGTTGTCTACCTTCTAATCTCTAATTTGTTGACCCGGTCAAATTCTATTCGAACTTTCCTGCCTCTGACATAGATAGATAGCCAAATAAAAATGTCGGTAACGACATTAAATAGATAATTCAATTCCATTCATAATCCTTTTACAGTATTGTCGAATTAAGCCATTGAAGCTTTATATGAAAAACTATTATTGTTTACTTTCAAATCAAAATTTGTATCACCCCACAGCTCTAAGTGCGACTGCACTAATTTAATGTAGTTGCTGATATTTTTATGACACTCTACAAAACTTGCATACGCCCCGTCATGACGTATGCAAGCGTGGTGTTCGCTCACGCGGGCCGCACAAACTTGAAAACCCATTCAGGTTATTCAATCCCGATTTTGCAGGATAGCCATGGGAGCAACACGGTTCCTGAGGAACGTGGATCTCAATGATGACCTGGAACTTGACTCAGTCAGTAAGCATCTACAGTCGGCATCATTGCGTTGCCCAAAACACGTCATTACGGATCCTCCCGATCCATTAACGGTGCTTTGTACCACAAGCACCGGTCACCGTCCTCGTCGAACCCGTCGCCTGCGACGAGGGGCTCGACGAGCGAATTAACCCACAGACACAACCCACTGAGTTTCTCGCCGGATCTTCTCAGTGGGTCGCATTTCCGATCCGGTGGTAGATTCTGCGAAACACTGCTCTTGCTAGGGCCAGTGTTAGCACTACTCCGGCTTGAGCTCCGTGAGCTCACCTACACGTTAGGGTGAAGCTGAAATAGTCTCTCAAGGCTATCAGCATAGATAGGAAAAAAAAAAAAAGATCTTTTTAACATAAACACGAATTAAGGTGCGATAAAGCCACGCGTCTTCACGAAACCCAATTATATCTAAGCGACATTACATTACATTCCACCGCGCCCAATCGCTCTCCCGTCACGGGAAAGCCGCAAACTAATATTGGTAATGAAGGAACGTTCCGCGGCACCATAAATAAATTCTATTTTTTTTTTCAATTACGATTTCATATGTTCAGGAGTCAAAGCTTGTTTATTTATCTATATATATATTCCTTGTAACATAATTTGTTGTTTATGTATATAACACACGACGATATCTTTGCTTTTTATAAATGAGTCGACTATTATCAAAGCCGGCAATCTGACTTTTGGACAATGATTGGTAAATCAGAAAAACGAATTATTGACTTTGTATTCCATTGGCAGTCACAAAACTCTTCGGAACGACATCTTAGATAAATAACAGGTGAAGTATTAACCTTTATTTAATGCAGGTTTTGAACCGTATTCTTTGAAGGAGACGATTATATTCAAATCAATCTGTATTGACATATCAATAAAATTTTTTTGTCTAAATGCACAGATTGCCACCTTTGATAATAAACGACTCAAATGTCGAATTGTATTAAAATTAACATTGTTTTCATTTATAAGGTATCTTTCATAATGCGGAAAAAATAATGAAAAAAAAAACTATGGTTTTTCATTGCGTTACGCGAGTCGTTACTTCGAAATTAATATGCTGACAATTAAAAACGTGAGATTAGGAGGGAGGTAAAGGAATTTTAATTAAAAAATAAGTAACAGAATACACAATATGAATGTGCCTTGTTTTAAGCCCAACAAACAAACAGAAAGGACAAATCCGAAAATGTATATAACTGTTTTGTTATTATTTTTCCTGAAGCATGTACACAACATACTGGCTAAAAACATAAATTGTTTTCGAAAAACTATTTAATTGCACGTCAAAAGTATATGGGAACGTAGTAAGGTATGCATTTCATAGGCTGAAAGTGAGTGAATAAATATAAAAAATTTTAAACCATACAGTTCTTACCTTTATGGGACAGATAACTAGATCAACTAAACAGCTGAACTGATATTGTTTAGAAGTGATGAATTAATGAAGACACAATAAGGAGAGGATCGATTGTATCCACATCCTCAACAATTAAACACTATGAGTACTGATGAAATTGTAAGAAGCATATAACTATTAATCATATATGTGACTGGACATAGCCAGGGAACATTTTAAGGTCAACTGTCTCATGATTACTGCCAAACTACTACTCACCTGACTATTTTTAAACATAAGGCTTATTAACAATACTCGTATGATAATTTATCATTTATAGAAAAAATAAAGCAAGTTTTTCAGATGTATATGTGTATATGTGTCATGTAAGTAATAATCAGTCAAAAAACTATTCAAGTCTTTAATATTTACTATCAAAATAAAATTCAGTATACTTATTCACCAAATGATATTATGATTAAGAAAAACAAACAATTACTTGATCAGATGTTACCTTTCTATGTTTATATTCTACAAATGTGATCTATGATCTATGTTCTATGAATTAAATGGGAATTGGAAAATTATTTCAAGAATTTATATTATTATTTTAAATTATTGAATCAAGACAACCATTCTCTAAATTGAAGAATAGTTTTCTGTAGCATTAATTATGTCTGTTAATATATCATATCATAATTTAAATGGCAAATAAAAATTTAATGGCGTACTTACTTTTGGCACTTTAGCATGAACTCCAGTTCTGACATCTCTGATGGTGACAATGTCTAGCAACTCCACCTCCATGTTCTGATCAGTCCAGTACAGGTAGAAGCCATTAGGATCAACCCTCAAGGTAACTGGAAGGCCTGTCCCGGAATCCTATCAACAAATTTTTCTTTATTTTTTCATTGTAAACTAGCTTTGTAAACTTTGTAAAAAACAATATATAATTTTTTACTTGTTTTCAGTACAATTATAAAGATAAATTTGTAGTAAAGATTAAATCACTAATAACAATTAAAAAAAAAGCACATTTTCAATTGGCTAAATTAAAAAGTCAAGATTACCCACAATTTTTATTAAACATTAAATAAATTTTACAGTGTTGTTAAAATATGTATGCCTATTTATAAATTGATTCTTAAAGCCAGAACATTTTGAAGCTATATAATAGCACTAATTTATTTAAAATGTTTATCTTTAATAAAGTATAGGAAAAAAATTGCATTCCATAACAAACTACTACCCAATCTATTTTTTGGTTCGTTATAAATTCAAAATCATTGAATACTGTGTATCAAATAAATTAACAGACAGAAAAATTAAGAGCTTCATACAAATTAAACAACAAAACTAGAAATTAAAACTAGTAGCAAGGCACAAACAGGGGTTCACTTACCTCATCCCATTTAATAAATTTTTCTCCATCCTGCAAAGCTTTCGGCACTTCGATGGGCTTTAAGCTAACTTTGGCTGATCTCGTGCTAGCACTCATCTCGACTAACGAACACAATTATGCGGAAATAAGAACACTATTGTACATAAAATCCGTCATCTTCCTCTCACAGAACAATCTTACTGATTTTAGGTACTGAGATACTTATCCCTATGTACATACACTCAAACAATCTTTATAAAATACGATTTATTAATAAATTAATAGCAGCTAGCACGTTAGTCAATACACGACGGACACCTGCTAAATTACTAATAAACATTTATTTTCCCCTTAGCACACATCCAACGAACGTCGAGCGACAGACGGACGAGGGTACTACATAGATTAGAGTCAGGTATTAAATTTGAACCTGTCACACGATATGTAGTCTGTCCCAAGGAATTGAGTGACATTAAGTTCACGAACAATGATTCATCTCGTTCGTAAGTACCGGTAAAATGGGGCGATTAGGGATTGAAAGGCGAATCGGGAAAAAACCGGGAAAATCTTTCGACGCTCAATATAAGTTTTATATTCGTTGCAAAATCTTCCATTTTTTTGTAATTTAATAGTAGAATGTTGAAAGTTCACAAAACAACTCTGAATATGCATGATAATAACTGCTAACTTATAAAAAATCGCGTTTCAAATTAACTTCCTGTGGTGGTAATTATTTTAGTGCTAGAAACTTTGCTCTCTTTTATTTATTTGATAATAATAGAAGACGACTATGATTTATAAACGTTATTTAGTGTTTGAACCAGCATATATATTAAAGGTAAGTCTCAGTTGTTATTGGTTTTAATGTATTTGATTAAATAAAAATACATGTAAAAATCTGTTGTTTTTGGGGATATTGGGGACGTCTTAGGTACAAATAACAACGAAAAAGGGGTCAATTGGGATGAGAATACGTGAAATGGAAACGACCTAAGTATAAATAGGTACAGGTTTGTAGGGTTGTCTATGTAGTTATAACAATATTTTTTAAATTTGTTGGTAAAAATCTGGTTTATTCGAAGCGAAATTGGGAATAAGTCTTTAGTTGAAATAGATAAGCAATTTAATATAAGTAAGTCGATTTTGCAGAGACATGTAACAAGATCAATGAAATCTCAAGGTGGACAAAAATGTCTAAGTAATACATAATAAAATATTTAATATTTGTTCAGAGTGGGGGTATTCATCTGATTAATCCATGGAATAACCGACACACCTAATCTCTTAACCCAGATAGAAATATCAGCCCCTAAGTACTTACCAAGAACGGAGAAATATAAACCGTTTCTAAGAAAGCCCACTATATATGTATGTATATATATATATATATTGTTGTTACTGCACTGTCGATTGCACCTATAATTGAGGTGATGTCTGCCATGTACTTTTGTCAGTTTTTCAATTTTTTTTATTGATGATCACTTTGTTGGTGCAACTAAATAAATAAATAAATTAAAACTATATATAAAAATAAAAGTAGTGCCAACCCTAGCAAATTTCTCATTTCGTCCCAATTAACCACAATTTTCGGGTAAATAGGGATTACACCTATTTTTGCATTTTTTGCTGAAACTGGAATGCTAGTTGCATAATTTTAAATTAGACAACAAAGATGCCCCCAAGACTCAATCATTTTGATCCTGATATAGCATTATATACATCAACAACTACCTTAAAATTGCTCATAAAGTTGGAATTTGTCCCTAATCGCCCCATTTTACGGTACCTATGAAACCTATCTATGGTTTTTTTAGGCATGGCAATTGGCTTCTTGCTACGTTATTGCTGCCAGTATTATGTAGGTATGCAAATTATCAATTATTAAATACAGATCGTAGAGTTAGTATTTTATGGTATATAGTTGTAGGTACTTATTAACTCCATGATACAGACATATTGCCGTATGAATAATGATATCGACGCTTCAATTCAAATTTTAATCCTACAGCTAGATTCGTTAAAATAGATTTTTTTTCAGGTATTTCAACTTTAAATTAGTCTACTGTAAAGTTCACGCATTGTCGCTTAATCACGTTTGCCTTTCAAGCGTCAATATTGTGAAGTGAAATAAAATGAAATTGGTTAGTTTGACACTTTTATCAACTGGGATTCTATTAAATGAAAGGAGATGAAGTGGGATGAAATATAATTAGAATAAATTATAATTATAATTAGAGTAAGTGATGGTTATTTACTAAGATTGTTTCAAATAGTTTCAATGGATTTTTTATTGTGTTTTTTTAGTTTCACTCAAGTTCGTTGCTCACATTCCCGCCAAAGAGTCAGAGATCTCCCGTTACAGACTAAGTATAATTTATGAATGACACTATAGCGGGTGAGGACTATGTGGAAACTAGGATTTTTCCGATGTTAAATTGTAGTGCGTACTCAAAGACTTTGGTTAAATAGTAAACAACAAAATGGTAAACTGAATAACTGAACGTATAAAACCAATCTAATAACTGAACGTTTGCCTATGTTTGCCGCTAGGAGCGCTGCTCCAACTGCATACAAAATTGAGTTAACTTTTACGCTATCGAGAACGTTAAAAAACTCGTACTAAGCACACAGGTTTTTGCTAGTTTCCTTACTCTGTTTTAGCTACCGCTACACCGCCATGAAGAAAGGCCTTATAAAAACTTTTATGGTGGTATTTAATTTAACAAAGTAAGTTAAGCTAGCGACACCATAAACTCATGGTAATGTCCTGTACTACTCGGTGCATAGGAGAAAACTTCTGACGCTCAAAAACTGAAAATGGAACTAATTGAAGAGAGATATACATTTCTATACCGATATATTTATATATCTCTTTAATTATTTCCATTTTATATTTAACCGAGATGAAAGATTAAAAGTATACGTAAAAAGTTAAGCATAGGTAATGTTAAAGTAGCTTTCAAAAACAGCATTTGACCATAATTTGTAAATTGTTTGAAAATCGATTCATCATTTCATCATCATCATCATTTCAGCCTATCGCCGTCCACTGCTGAACATAGGCCTCTCCAATAGATTTCCAGTGCGACCGGCCCATTGCCACCTGCGTCCAACGAGACCCAGCGCTTTTTACTAGGTCGTCGGTCCATCTAGTAGGTGGCCGTCCCACACTGCGCTTGCCAGTACGTGGTCGCCACTCCAGGATCTTTCTGCCCCATCGACCGTCCTCTCTTCGTGCTATGTGGCCGGCCCATTGCCACTTCAGTTCACTAATTCTACGGGCTATGTCAGCAACCTTCGTTCTTCTACGGATCTCNCAATCATTTTGGAGGTTTATTAGCCTACTGGTACCACGCTGGCTAGACGGGTTGGTACAGGGTTTAATTTCGAGTTTTCCTTCTCTCACACTAGTAAATATTGTGTGTTATGCTTTCCCTTTTGTCGCCTCTTACGACTCCCCTGGGATGGTAATGGGGGTGGTGACAAAAGTATTCTAATGCCGTCACCACACGGCAAAATCGATTATTTCGAACAGATCTTACTTTAACTTTAGCTCCACTACTCTCTCTCTCAACTCTATTTCTCTCTATGAACTCTCTTCCCATTGCCATCGTGGTGTAGGTGGATAATGCAGGTACCAGCATGCTCAGAGGATTTTACCAACAAACTACGATCGTTAACTGGCATTTAAGGGTGAATTCTGTGGCTTCACAATGCCAGTTGAATGAATGAATGAGATAATTTTGAGATTGTTGTGCAGAATTCATCTGCCGCTCTGCCTATTTCAACCGCGACGCAGTTTGAAGGGTGGGACTTCCTACACTCCTTTTTTACTAAATAAACGATGATCCTGTTTGCCCATTTACAGCAATACAAAACTTCTAATTATGTATTGTATTAAACATCCCAAAACTTATTTTTATAAAGAATCATTGTCCTATTACATTTAAGTATTTATTCAATATTCGATCTTTATGCATGTCGAGATTTTTACTCGAGTGTTGGGTATTCAAATCGTTTAACACTAAAACTGGATCACATGAATAATTTTGGATTTGAGTGTATAGTGGATAATACTCCATTCTAACCACATCCATTCACTCAAAATGTAAGATGCTTAGTGATTCCACATAGTACATCACTAGTTCGATTATGGTTCGATTCATAGACAAAATACTTTGGTTTGGTTTGATAAAGTCAGTGGATAAAGTTCGTTTTTGGCTAATGCGCAAACCGTGCCAGAGCCAAAATATAAAGAAGTAGAAGTTCGTTTTGTTTTGCATTTTTGTTTTATTTAGGTAGGTAATTTAATTTGTGTGTGTGGTTCACATTAGCTATAATATACAAGACGTACAATACGTTCATACTGTAAGAAAACATTTTAAAATCCAACAGCCATAAAAAAAACTTGTTATAGGTCAACAATTATGTCAGAATCTGAAAATCTTGAGAACGCTGATCAAAATCCCAAACACGAAAACAGTGCAAGAAAGAGGGTTCGGCACCGAAAAAAACTAATTTACGAGAAAATACTCAAGCAGATGGAGTTTTACTTTAGCGACGCAAACTTAACTAAAGATAGGTACTTAGGGGAATTAGTTAAAAACGATCCCTATGTCACTCTGGAGGTTTTTCTGAAATTTAATAAAATCAGATCAATGACACAGGATATAGTGGATATAGCTAAAGCTATGAAACATTCCACTATGCTCGAATTATCTGAAGATAAACTTAAGGTGGGTAGACTTTTAAATAATTTTCAAGATAACCTATAGTTTATTCTAAATAAGTTTAAATTCCCTAATAATATATTAACTTGCAGGTTAAGAGGAAAACATCAGTTATTTCATATGATGCGGATGCTAGGACAGTGTATGTTGAGTCTATTCCTGTGACTGCCAGCAGAGACTGGCTAGAACGAGTGTTCTCCGACTTTGGCACTGTGGTGTACATCTCATTACCTAAATTTAAGAACACACAGAAGATTAAGGTAATTTAACATAGCCAATTATTATATCAATGTATCAGGCTCAAGAGAAATATCCCTAAAAACAGAGAGGTGATTACACTATCATTATAAGAATTGTTTTTGTATTTTGCAAAAGTAAGGTAGTAGCCAGTGCCAGTGTATATGAAGTTTTAGAATGTTTATTGAGGGAGGGAAGATCTTTCACTGAGCGAATGACATTGCTTGGTAAGCTGACAGTTCAAATGTTGTTGTTCGGAACTTGTATATATGCAAGCTTATCTTGAAAATTTAAATGTCGTAAATGAGATTCAGGCATTTGTCAAGTATCTTGTGTTGTACAATGGCTACTGCCACAAAGTCATTGAAGTTGAAAATCCAATTGCATCATGTTGATTGTGCAGTGTTCATAATTTTTATTATTTGCCTTTTCATGTTTTCCATGTGTAAAATTTGAGCAAATTTACCTGAAAAATTTAGAAAGAAATCTAGTAATCTGTTATTGTGAAAATAATTTAGAAACAATTATAACTATTAAGGATGATGGTTATCTACCAAAAAAAATATCCAAACATCAGCTTAAAGATTCCTACTGGGATGCCAATACACATTAAAATCTATGTCCTCTCCTGGCTGAGACTTTGCTCGCCCACCTGTCCTGGTGAAACTGGAATAGCCTTTTATTAAAATCTGTCTTTTATCATTCTGTTATTCCTTTTACTGTGTATATCAAGTATATATGTATGGTGTTTGTACCTATAGATCAAGGTTCTAAAGTAAATACACCATACACTTCAGAAATTAATTGCCTGTATGACATTAACATCTGTCAGTACCACATGACTAGGGATGTGTCATTTAGCAATTCATTTTTATCACTGATGATACTTGCTGCATGAATCTAGTTCTTTAATATTGTTATGAAAATTGGTTTCAAAAGCAAATTATCATTTAATTGGTATTTATGAGGAGACTCCGTTATCGCGGATGTACTAATGCGTAGTCTCTAGGGTTTAATCGACCTATTGATTATCCATTGTAGCAGTACACCCCATCATTAGATATGTCTATCTATGGCGTTACTTTATACGCATAACAGAGCTTAATTTTTTAATACTAAGTCATTATTTGTAAATAGCGTCAACTTTCAAGAGCTCAAACAAAACGTTAGTGAAATTGTCACCCGCACTATGCTTCAGCTCACATATAATAAGCATAGAAATAAGATAACTTTTTTTATTGCTTAGATGAGTGCACGAGCTCACAGCCCACCTGGTGTTAAGAGGTTACTGGAGCCCATAGACATCTACAACATAAATGCCGCCACCCACCTTGAGATATAAATTCTAAGGTCTCAGTATAGTGATAACTGCCCCACCCTACATACCGAAACGCATTACTGCTTTACGGCAAAAATTAGTGGGGTGGAGTTACCTACCCGTGCCAACTCACAAGAGGTGACCAGTAAACATATGCGTTTGTTGCCTGCAATATCAATACATTTTACCTTTTCGACAGGGATATGGTTTCATAGAGTTTAACACAACAGAGGAAGCTCAAAAATGCATTAATACTTTCACCAAAATGGGTTGTAAGCTCCCCACATATATGCCGCCAGAGGACCTGTCTTCCATTAAAATGTTTTCGGTAGAAGAGAGCCCAGAAAACTCAACAGATATTAAAGAAGGAAAAGATGAAGACCCCCCAAAAAAGAAGAAAAAGAAGGAGAAAAAACCACCAAAAGGTCTGGACACGAAGACTAATGAACTTGATAGTGATAAAAGAGTTGATACACCAACTGTAAGTATTAACAAATTGTCTCTTAGGATACCATAATGCACTATTTGTGCACCTTACAACACAGCAGCAAAGTAATTAGTAAGTCTTCAGTTCATGTTGAATTGTTATCGAATTTCAGGATGAAAAGAGAAGCATTGATATGAACATCACTTGATGTAAGTTGTACTGTTAGTTTCCAAGATTTTTGACCAAAATTGTTTATTTTCCTCTCTAGTTCACAGTATAAAAGTTATATCCTTGTTTTTTTTTTGTTGTAAATAATCTTAAATGTGTGCATTTTTCATTTACAGGAGACCAAAACATTTACAGACACTGAATCAAGAGATGAGGCAACCAGCCAAGATGAGTCTAAGAACTGTGAGGAGACGACAAGGAAGAAAAAATTTAAAAAACGCACCACTAAGGAAAAGAAAGGAAAGAACGGCTTAGAGAAAAATGAAGCTCCCAAAGGCGCCCTTTGGGGATTGCAGGTTCTCGCCAAAAAAGAGTGGAAGTCTCTAAGGAATAAGTACTTAAATTTACAACGAAAATATATGAAAGAATTGAAAAATGAGCTACAAAATAAGAAACACTATATGAGAATACCACCTCCAGCTTCTCCAACTGGAGAAGTGAATGGTAAACAAAACTATTTTTTAATATTTTTTTTAATAAAAATTAACAATAATAAAAAATGTAGACAATCATTTACTAGAAAGAAATGTATTATGTGTATAGGAAACATATCAGTTCCAAATATTAAAAAGCTCAAAATGTTTTCTTATATAATGATAATTAGGAAGTGTGTAACTTCATTTAAACATGCAATGAAAAAAACTTTATTCCATTTTATACTGTAAATCTGTCAATAAGTCTGATGATATTGCAACTGTACATCTTTATAGACTTATTTCTCTTGAAAAAGGTACTGAAATACCCATTCTATATGATATCATAAAACAGAAACCAAAACTGGAACTCAGTGGATATCATTTGGGGCCAATATATATAAAGAGTAAAGATGTGGTTGTTTGCCTACATGTGTGGGTATCACCATCATGCTGATATTTGCCGAGAAGCAACAGCGGGTTTAGGTTTCAAGGAGATCACAGCCATTATAAAACACAATTCGGACATCGACCCACGTCTCAGAGCAGGATAGAAAATGAACGATGCGATATTTATGTCCCCCAGTAACCACCAAACAGATACTTTAAAATAAAAATAATTTCGTAATTAACCTAATTAACACTGCTTGTTTATTTTATTGTGGTTTGATTGCCATGGTACTGATTAATGAATAAAAATGACTACATCAAATATAATACTTTTTGCAGCATCTACCGATACCAATGTAAATGAAAATTTAGTAATGCCAGAAAAAATCCCTGGAGTTTTTGTTAAAGAGAAGCTACTAGAACCATGTATCGACGTAAGATTAACTAAAAGGACGGTGAGTTACTTAATACTTAAGTCATCATCATCATCATCTTAGGCCTTACAGCCCAGGGTGGGCCTTAGCCTGGTCCAGTATGTCTCTCCAGACTGCTCTGTTCAGGGCTTTCTCCTTCCAGTTCTTGACGCCGATATTTTTGAGGTCGCGCTCCACGCCATCCAACCATCGGAGTTTGGGTCTGCCACGACTTCTGTGGCCCTCTGGTTTGCCATAGAGCAATAGAGTAATTAATACTTAAGTAGGGGAGGTTAAATAAATAGGATGCGTAACTGAGTCTATTCTGAAACATCTACTTTTGATGTTTTTTATTTTTACTGTGTAATTCACAAGTTCACAGCACAGAGTTTAAGAGAGTCTATAGACATTACAATTTGATTGAATTCACCCACCTTGAGACTTGAGGTTGAATTCTCAGTCATAAGGGTTCTCCCGCTCTTCAAGTCAGAATGGATGATTGCTTCGGGACAATAGTAAGCAGAATGGTGATATTCACCCGTGCGAGCTCATAATGCATCTTAACACCAGTAATAGCTAGTATAATACTCAGAAAACGCTACTGCTTATTCTGTGACGATTGCCTTAGACATTTTCAAGTTATCTATGGGTAGAGATAGTGTGGTTCTATTCTACATTGACAGTGCAGACTGGTGACCCACAATGGGGGCTGGTATTCACTTTGTGATATCTATGCGCTACCGTGACTACACTAGGAGGGCTATAAATGCGTTCTCCATATTAGGACAGTTAGCATGATAAATAGAGAAAATTTAACCTCAAAAATCTTGCTAGCAATAATTAACAAAAAATCGCGCATAGTTAGTTTGTAACACCTGCCGAAGACCATCGCTTTGTGGTAGAGAATGACAATGAACGATTGGAAGCTTGTCTCATTTCGCCGTAAGCTACTTCTTGGGTCCGTGGACTGTCAGTGCACGAGTACAAACCTGCCATCTTTTGTTATCTTATCACACCTGAGCAAATCTACCCTATAGGTGGATACAATTTTTTTATTTTTTTTTATTGCTCAGATGGGTGGACGAGCTCACAGCCCACCTGGTGTTAAGTGGTTACTGGAGCCCATGGACATCTACAACGTAAATGCGCCACCCACCTTGAGATATACGTTCTAAGATCTCAGTAACGGCTGCCCCATCCTTTAAACCGAAACGCATTACTGCTTCACGGCAGAAATAGGCAGGACGGTGGTACCTACCCGCGCGGACTCACAAGAGGTCCACCACCAGTATCCTACCACCACAAATTCTAAAAGCACTCATTTTTTGAAACGCATTTGTCTTAAAGTGCGAACCTTACTTGATGATTCGCTCCGGGTATTTCAATATTGCAATAATTGTTACGTTTTAATAAATCTTGTAGAAATTAATATTTAAAAAAATCTAATATTTAAAAAAAAAGACATGCCCACTGAGTTTCTTGGCAGTTCTTCTCAGGACGGAGGCTAGTTTTTGTGAATTGGCGGTAGTTCTTTTTGACGTTCAACAAGTGTCTATTTCATTTAAGTTGAATAAAATTATTTAGATTTTTTTTAATGTTTGATAATTTTGCTTACAGATACGAACCAACGTGCACGTGTTACACGTAGACGTGAAGGAGAGTCAGTCAGAAGTCGTCATTAGATTCGATTCCCCTAAAGCTGCTGATGAGGTATTTGTGTAGAACATTCTAGAACAATCCTTTATAATTCAAAATTTGGTACTTATTTGATGGTTGAGGGTGGGTAGATATAAGACTGTATTGTTGTCGACTTGAAGAAATCAGGTCGAATTTCCAATTGTAATGTTATAACAGCGATAGTAATAATCGGTTGTTGATTATTTGTTTCTTCTTTGGCTAAATCATTGTCGTAAGTTGTGATGTCATTTATACATACATAGAAATAGTAATTATGATAAATGAGCTTGCGTTTCCTCTCATCTGGGGTAAGTAAGTGGTCACGATGGCTCATGAATACTGCTTTAAAACCCAGTGCTGCTTTTTCATATTATTTTTAAACAAAAATATCGACGCTTGGGAAATCAAGAGGGACGTTCATTCCACAGTATGACACAGTGAGAATCAAGCAATAATGATTTTTGAAATAATGTAGCTATATTTACTCGAGATAGGAATCTTTTTCTTTTCCTACCTATTCTAGTAATCTCGAGGGGTTATACTAGAATGAGAAGGGATCAATTCTGCTCCATTGATGGTACAATAATAGAATGTGCGATAGTAAACAAAAGGTGTACTCTTTTTTTTTCCTACCTGTGCTGATTGCCTTGAGAGGCTCTTTCAGCTTCTCTTTGGCGTGTAGATGAACTCACGGGGCTCAAACCTGGTTACGTTGCTAACACTGGCCCTAGCAAGAGTAGTGCTTCGCAGAATCTACCACCGGATCGGAAACGCGACCCACTGAGAAGATCTGGCGAGAAACTCAGTAGGCTAGGTGTAGGTAGGTACCATCACCCCGCCTCTTTCTGCCGTGAAGCAGTAATTCGTTTCGGTGTGAAGGTCGGGGCAGCCATTGTAACTGTACTTGAGACCTTAGAACTTATATCTCAAGGTGGGTGGTGCATTTACGTTGTAGATGTCTATGGACTCTAGTAGCCATTTAACACCAGGTGGGCTGTGAGCTCGTCCACACATCTAAGCTATAAAAAAAAGACGCAGCCCAATGAAGTTCTCGCCGGATCTTCTCAGTGGATCGCGTTTCTGATTCGGTGGTAGATTCAGCGAAGCACTGCTCTTGCTAGTACTAGTGTAAGCAACGTAACTAGGTTTGCGCCCCGTAAGCTTACTTACTCATTCAGTGAATCTAGTGTGACCGCTCAAGATCACTAGAATAGGTAGGGGGAAAAAAAGAATGACTTGCATGATGACAGAATAACATCATGTAATAAAAAACTGAACCCACATATAATTTGCGTAACTACGGTGTGCTTTGTGCGAGTTTCTTAACGTTTTCGGTAGCGTAAAAGTTAACCCAATCTTGTATGCAGTTGGAACAGCGCCCCTAGCGGCAAACGTACGCAAACGATCCCGTTCCATACAAATATAAGCTAACTTTTACGCTATCGAGAACGTTAAAAAACCTCGCACTAAGCACACTAGTGGTAAGGCGTCTTGTGAGTCCTCACGGATGTGACGTGAAAACCTCTTGACGTAGCTTGGCTCCGGCCTCAGTAGTCGTTTTTGTGTTGTGACAGTACTGCGCGAACTCGCACAAGCGGGCCCGCGTGCTGTCGGGCGCGGAGGAGCAGGCGCAGTGGGGCGCGGCGCGCGCGGCTCGGCGCCGGCCCCGCGGCCGCACGCGGCTGCTCGCGCGCCGCACGCACGCGCTGCTCGCGCCCGCCTCGCCGCAACCCACCAACACTCATCTAAGGTTCGACGAGGAATAAACGCGTTCTGTTATAAATAAATATTTTCACTACATCTCTGTTTTATTGAAGTAAAATGCGATTCCAACAAGGTTGCCTTTTTTCCCCCTACTTATTCTAGTAGCCTCGAGGGGTTATTCTAGATTCACCGAGCCAGTAGGTAAACTCACGGGGCTCAAACCGGGAGTGTTGCTAACACTGGCCCTAGCAAGAGCATTGCTTCGTAGAATATACCATCGGATCTGAAACGCGACCCACTGAGAAGATTCGACAAGAAACTCAGTGGGCTGTGTCTATGGGTTAATTTATACGACGAGGACGGTGACCGTAAATGGATCAGGAGGAACAGTGAATGCGTGGCACTCGAACCGATATCTGTTGCAAGCCAGCGCGAATGTTAGCAACGAGTAAGTAGCGCCCAATACTTTAATGAAGTATTTACAAAATATATATATATATATATTTCTATCTTTAATTTAAAATATATATTATAATATAAACGTTGACGATATCGCGTCTCTTACGTACACAGCGTTGCCTATTACAAGAACAATCTGGTTTAAGGATGAAAAATGAACGAAACCACAATACTAAACGTCGAAAAAGTTTCACTTTTTTACGTGCGCCAAATTGTTCGCGCCCCCTTTTTTAATTACTTGGCTGTCGACTTTGATCAATTATGGTCATGATCGTAGTTGATAACAGCTCTCCAAAAATCGTACAATATCTATCATTTTTTAAACATTGGGGCTATATCTGCCCGATATGTGGCGAACGACTTTTACTGTATTTTTAGTGTTTAAAAGATAGGGTGTAAAAAAAGATTTACCCATAACTTTACGTGATTAGGGTTAATGCATAGTGAGCACATTCAGAAAAGTGTTTTTGTCTTTCCTGCGGTATTCACATATTCCGATTTTGAAAATTGAATTGGTTGATCAACGACAATTACATATCATATAACTAAGGCAGCGTGCACGTATGAAAGAAAACAAGAAATATTTACAAAAGAAATTTAATACATCGAATAAATGCCAAAATTAATTTCATCCTAAAAATAAGCCTATAAATAACTTAGTTTTAGAGGCACTGGCACGTATCATTTATTTTATTCTTACAAACTAAATACAAAAATTACATTATCAAAAATTGTCATACAAAAGTTCACCTGTAAATACAACCTCGATACGATTACTGTTTATGATGCAAAAATCATTATTGTAATAATAATAAAGTTTTAAGACATATTAAAGCTTTAGAGAACTTTAGGATTATCAAATTTAAGTACATAATAATAAAGACTGATCAAAAGATCATAAATTAATTTACACGTTCCTTTTCTGGACGTTCAATTAACATTTCAAATTTGATATTAATTGCAAAAATTAAGTATTTCAATGGAACATTTATACCACAGTAAATAATAATAACGATGAGAAAGCACCACGTTTTTTAAGTAGATGTATACAATTTAACTTAGTTTACCGAGCTTCAAACCTCGTGTTAATGAGGTAATTAATTTAATGTAATTTCTTAAATTAATTTCTCATTGAGGCTCGCTGATTACCCGCAGGATGGCGCTCGGGAGATCCGTCCCACCCATACGCAAAATAGGAACACTGAATTGTGGAAATCTGTTTGTTTAATATAATGTATCACAACTCGACATGGCTTGCTGAAACAGCGTGCTTAGTGCGAGTTTTTTAACGTTCTCGATAGCGTAAAAGTTAACTCAAATTTGTATATTTTTATTTATTTATTGCTTAGACGTGTGGACGAACTCACAACCCACCTGGTGTTAAGTGGTTACTAGAGCCATAGACATCTACTACGTAAATGCGCCACACACCTTGAGATATAAGTTCTAAGGTCTCAGTATAGTCACAACGGCTGCCCCACCCTTCAAACCGAACACCGGTGCATCGCTCGATACGAATGCACCGGACGTCTTATCCTTTAGGCCACGACGACTTCAGAAACGACAACTTCAGACTTATTGTATGCAGTTGGAGCAGCGCCCCTAGCGACGAACGTTAACTTTTACGCTAACGAGAACGTTAAAAAACTCGCACTAAGCACAGTTTTTTTAGAAAACGCCTACGGACGATAAATGGACACCACATCAAAATGTTTCACAGCTGTACTGTACGCAATACAATAAGGTAATTCAAAACAGGCATGGACGGAATCCACAGCTTCGTCAGAACGCAGGGTGCGTCTGAAAGCTGCCTTCCTTTTATCTCACTGATTCACGACAAAACTATAATACGTTGTGCTTGAATGAATATTATTTCTATGTAAGTTAGGTAGTGGAAATATTATTCATCAGTGTAAGTGGAACGGTTCCCGAAGCACGTGTTCAAGCATTTAATCTTCGTATACATATATAGTTATTATACAATAGGTACAATAGTAATGGTTTAAAATGTCTAACTAATAAGTACTAGAGGTAGATAAGTCGAAAAAAACGTGACAATAATAATGATAATTCATGATGCTTCCATATGTCGATGGACCGTCACCGGAGCTATGATACTATTCTTACCGCATGGCAAAACTGTAACATTTAGGTCTCCCGATTTTAAACGCGGCTTTATTTTGGCGGGAAGTGGACAGCTGATGTCAGATTTAGTGTCATCTGACAATATAATGGGATCATTTACAGAGAACCCCGTGGCTTCTGAATCTTCATGCGGCGTCATTGTTGAATAACCATGATCGGAGCCACCTGCAGTATGCGCCCTCCGGTACCCTGTCACTACTCTATACGGAGATATCGGAGCCTCCATTTCCATTGCCGGTAGTAATTTGTCGTGACCGGATTGATCGTGAACGTCATCAGAATGCAGTTGGCTCATTTGTACGTCTGGGTCATGCCAAGTTTCTGCAGGTCCGTCCACGTATAAATTGTGACAGCTAGCCGAAGTTACATTCTGTCGGTAACAGTATATCGCTACCGCTACAATCAAACTAACAGTCACTATGCAACCTGCAATCGGTCCTATTGCCGAATAACCACCTAAAGCGTCTCTGTTCATGTGACCGTAAGTTCCTTCGCCGTACGGAGTTACCGCTCCCAAAACGCCATTGAAACAAGTGGACTGAGAAGTGCAAAAGGGAGCTAGTAATGTGCTACTGCCATCCGTGTCTATCTGACACCACTCGCACCCTAAAACGCCTAAGCAAGAAGAGTGCGACGTGTAGGTCTCGCATTGAAAATCAAAGCAAGTTTTTAAATTCTCAGCAAAGTTATAAAAGTAATGCGACTTGTGATTGTTGTTCTCTAACATCATGCCACATAAGGGAATATCTTGATTAAAACGTGACACGTTCGAGTTGGCGCATTCGTAAATTTCGGAGCTGCATTCGCAAGGGCATTCACACTCCGTTTGTTCCATACGATTGCAATTGAGACACAGACGATCGTTTATACTACAAGGACAGAATGCGTTCGGGCAAGATGCGTTAACGAGACCTACAAAGGCATTAGTTCCAGGAATAGCAGCGATGTAATAATGAACACAATGATCACCTGAAACTACGTTAGAGAGCACATCGGACAGGGATATGTTAAATTCATAAAATCTCTGTATCGTTTTATCATAAAAGTTATTGCACAGTCGTTTCGACACAAAGCTTTTATGATTCAACATGTCTATAGCTATCATGGATTCCTTATGTGTAATATGTTGCTGTTCAATTGGACCAGAGCTGTTAGGATCCATTAAACCGGGATGTGAAATTAAATACCCTCGATTGTTCATAATGAAACATTTCATAGAAGAACCTGCACATACAGGCATATTATCGATTAGGAGTTTATAAAGAAAACCCATTGTCATATCCATTGAAACTACCATTGTAGGATATAATGAGCTCTTTACAGCATAAGACAGGGAAACAACATATCCCGCACCTCCAACATCCAAATTAGGAGGGGTCAATATAATTTTTCCAGGGTTTTCAATTGCATAAGTGTACCATGGCCTTCTTACAGGTTCATAGTCATATTCTAAAACTGTACCAGGAAACATGACTAGAACTCCGCTCTCTGTAACGGCATACCTTCTAACAACATACTTAGAGTATGGCCCGTGTAAGTGTTGTCTCTTATAAAATGATAATAGAGTATTCAAATAACCTACATCTTGTTGAATTTCGTTTTTAAGACCTGGATTAGAGAGCAAGCCGTGTGCTACACTTTTCAAATATGCTAAGTAGTTTTGCATATAAGTTACAGCTTCTTGTCCATCCCCCATGTCATACAAGTAAGTGAATGGTGATTGAAAACTGGAAGGACTAAGATAAACAGTACCTTGGTCAATAGTAGCAATTTGTTTAAAATGACGACATATTTTGCCCGATTTTGGAGGAAATAAATCTAATCTATGAAACAATATTTCTTTGTTGCTTCTAGCAAAATATACATTTGTTTTATTTAAACTATTTTGTGCAGATTGTTCGGAAACAATGCATACAATATATAAGTTGTCTACCCACTTCCAGGAATAAATTAATGGGCTGCTTGAATTACTATCATCAGATGACACCGATAGGTTACCAAAACTTTTTGAGTACATACCACTTTTGATATCATTTATATATTTATACGTGTCTATATTTTCTAAATTTGTAAACTTTATTTTATCTATGGCTGTTTCAGGACGTGGAAAGTATGTGTGCATTAAAACTTTACCTCCAAAATCCATGACAAATGCTTTCTTTTTGTGGTCGCCTTTGAAATATATGATGTCTTCTGCTAAGTCTGACCAGTACAGATCGAGTCCTAACACTCCAGTTAGTGTTGGTTGTACCAGAGATACCATGAAATCTCTTTCTGTTGCCTCCCATATTGGACCTTCAATTTTTATTCCTCTGTCATCAAACTTGCCAGGGAGCAGAGATATAAATGCCGAAGCCACTTGGCCGATCACAGCACTGTCATTTATGTGCAGTCTCATTACTGAATGGTTGTTTGAGTGAGTGTGCCACTTATCGATATGCAAGATACCAAGAGAGCTATTCCTGTCTATTTGATTTTCATATATCAATC